GTCCCTGCTGTGTCTGGAGCTGCAGCGCGGCCTCGGCCGTACTTTGTTCCGCTTCTTTAGCAAGTTCTTGGTCTTCCTCCTCTCTTAGAGTGTCCACCGCCTGTCCAGTCGCAGTCACAGTTACCGACGGCCTCCCCCTTGCCTTCTCCTTCACCTTACACTGGTCCTACTGGAGGTCTTGCTGAGCGTCGTGAGCCTGCGTCTCGTCCTGCGTCGCCTGTTCGTGCGGCTTGCACTAGTGGTCGCAGTTCGCGTCAGCGTCCTCCTCCTGTCCCTGGCACGCACCGGATGTCTCTGCGTCCGTCCACTGCTCCTCTGCGTGCCCCTTTGCCCTCTCCTCCGTAGTCCTCTCTTCCTGCGCTTGCCGACCCTGAGTCGGAGTCTCTTCGTGCTGCCAGTCCTACTGTCACGCGTCTCCTTGCTACTGTCCTCACTGACCCCTCCTTTGAGTCCACTGCTGCGTCTGCTCTTGTTGCTGAGCTCGTCGACTTTGCTGCTCGCTGTCGTCTAGACTAGGCTGCTAGTCTTGTTGCTGAGTCTGCGTCTGGCTGTCCTCCGTCCGTCGGGGGTGAGTGTGCTCTTGGCACGGACGTCCTTGAGGACAGGCACGAGGAGTTTCAGTGTCTAGCTGCTGCTTCACCTCATCTCGCGTCTGTACTGCTTGCCCCTGAGGGAGACCCGGATGCACTAGACATCCCGACTCCGCGCTCTTACGCGGAGGCCGTAGAGGGTCCCTACTCCTCTCAGTGGCAGGCAGCTATGGCTGCAGAGATGGCTTCCTGGAAGTCCACAGGCACCTACGTTGACGCGGTTCCCCCTCGTGGGGCGAACATCGTCAGTGGCATGTGGATCTTCAGGGTGAAGCGGCCGCCGGGCTCTCCACCTGTCTTCAAGGCGCGGTACGTGGCTCGTGGCTTCAGTCAGCGGCATGGAGTTGACTACTTTCAGACCTTCTCTCCCACCCCGAAGATGACCACTCTTCGGGTGCTTCTGCACATAGCCGCTCAGCGCAACTACGAGCTCCACTCTCTTGATTTCAGCACTGCTTTCTTGCAGGGTAGCCTGCACGAGGAGATCTGGCTGCGCCGTCCACCTGGCTTCACTGGGACTTTCCCTCCTTGCACCCAGTGGAGCCTCCGACGGCCAGTCTACGGTCTCCGCCAGGCACCGCGTGAGTGGCACGACACACTGAGGACTACGCTTGCGGCTCTTGGGTTTGCTCCCTCTACTGCTGACCCGTCGCTGTTTCTGCGCACCGACACTTCTCTACCGCCGTTCTACATCCTCGTGTACGTCGACGACTTGGTCTTTGCCACAGCGGACACTGCTGGACTCGCCTACGTGAAGTCCGAGCTGCAGAAGAGACACACGTGCACAGACCTGGGTGAACTGCGCAGCTACCTTGGCTTGCAGATCACTCGGGACAGAGCACGCCGCACCATTACCTTGACTCAGTCACACATGGTGCAGCAGGTCCTTCAGCGCTTCGGCTTCACGTACTCCTCGCCTCAGGCCACTCCTCTGTCTACTCGCCACTCGCTCTCAGCTCTGCCTTCGGATGAGTCCGTAGAGTCGAGTGGCCCGTACCAAGAGCTTGTTGGCTGCCTCATGTACTTGATGACCTGCACACGACCTGACCTTGCATACCCTCTTAGCATCTTGGCACGCTATGTTGCTCCTGGGAGACACCGACCAGAGCACATGGCTGCAGCGAAGAGGGTGTTGCGCTACGTGTGCAGTACGTCGGGCATGGGGCTAGTGCTTGGAGGGCGGAGTCCAGTGGTCCTCACTGGGCACGCGGACGCTTCTTGGGCTGACGACCAGGCTACTCAGCGGTCGTCGCAGGGTTACACCTTCAGTCTTGGTTCCGGCTCTGTTTCGTGGCGGGCTACTCGCTCGTCTTCTGTTCTCGGCTCCAGTTGTGAGGCTGAGATCTACGCCGGGGCCATGGCTGCTCAGGAGCTTCGCTGGCTCACCTACCTGCTGACTGACCTTGGAGAGCCGCCTCGTTCTCCTCCAGTGCTGTACGTAGACAACAAGGCCATGCTGGCCTTGTGTCGAGAGCAGCGCCTGGAGCACAGAACGAAGCACATTGCTCTCCGCTACTTTCTTGCTTGTGAGCTGCAGCAGCGTGGTCAGTTGCGACTTGCGTACGTGGCCTCTGAGGCCAACACTGCTGATGTTTTCACCAAGGCACTTCCGCCTTGTGATCATCAGCGTTTCTGCACTCAGCTGGGACTTGTCCCAGTCTTGCCTCACTTGCTCACCTCTTGATCTTACTTGTACTCTTGCATATATATATACCTGCTCTTGCTTGTTTAGACTTATATATATATGTCTCCTCTTGCATGTGAACTGGCCTTGTGGCCTTGACCTTGTGCTCAGACTGTGTGGTGACGTTGTGATCCACCCTGAGCTTGCTTTGCTTTGCTTTGCTTGACTGGTCTTGTGACCCCTTGTTCTCCCCCACTTTGCCTATGGGGGTGTGTCAGAACATTATAGCTTATGCTTTTGTGTAGGCTATAGTGGGGTATCCCATAGGGGGTACAACCCAATTAGGGTTAGTACTTGTACCCACTTCATTCATAGTTCATTCATTCGCGTTCACTCTTTCACAGGGTATGTAGATTGTGTTATCATGGTGGTTACATTGGCGCGACTTCAGGGGATACAGTGTACCCACGGTGCGTGGACCTAGTTTTCAGCCGCTATGTAAAGTGTCAGTAAAAAACCTGTAAATACTGTGTCAGACTGAACATTGCACGCACATAGTAACTCCAATGTGTTTTTCAGGTGGGTACATTGTAACTACGGCGACCTAATTTGAAATGATGCTAATCTGCTCAATCTGGGAGGGTTATCTGCTGTACTCAATAGTGGATCATGTCAGTAGATCTACACTGTGGATGCCCGATTGATCCTGGAGAGGGTTACAGGCGCGTTCGCCTGGGGGGTTATGGGTGCACTGACCCGCTACTGAAACAAGCTCTTTTATCCCAATGGTCTAGTGGTTGGGATTCTGACAGATCATGCCTTCTGCTGACTCAGTCAAGATATGGTTGTATACGATACGTTTTTCCTTGAAAAAAAAAAAAATACAACAAGAGCATACGAAATTGCCGTATTCTCCCAGATAATACACCCTAGGGTATTATGAAAACCACCGGAAAAAAATGGGGGGGGTCTCCTCAACGGAAAATCCTACATAATACTTGGGTCTTATTATATTGCATATTTTTTATGAAGCAGAAATGATGTGAAACAAAATGTGGGGTGTCACTTCACTTATAGATTGTTGATCAGTACCGCAAAACCGAGTATACGAGGATTACGTGACCGCCCACTGGAATCTGCCACATGGCAAATTTCAGTGGGCAATTCTGGCACCTGATAGGGTAAAAACATAGCCAGCCTTGCGTAGCGAAAGTTCATGCAACCGCCGAGGCCAGAATCGCACACGGTGTTGCGTTGTCCTTGCACCAGTCACGTCTTGACTGGTTTGGGCACGTCCCTGTGCCTCAAAAGGTTCGTTCACCTTCTCTTTGTGCAGCGGTTCCAGTGCATGATACTGAAGAGTGCTCGGCAGGCTGTGAGAGCGCCATAGATCTTTGTTTATACCGTAGCCATTTCTGCCATGGCGAGTGACACTAACCTGCAGTAGACTAGAATGGCTTCCTCACCCGATTCAAGCAGTACGGTAGTTAGGAGGCAGTGGCCTTCTAACTCTCAGTCTGCTGCACGCCCACGGACGTCGCCTCGCCCCGTCTTGCCCCAGCCGTCTCCTCCTGGTTGTGCTTCTACCAGGGATGAACCGAGCAGTAGCTCTGAATCCCCTCGCCCTCCCCTTCCACGAGTGGCTGTCCCCACCTTCCCGGAGAGTAAGTGCCCGCAGGGACAGACGAAACGCAATGCGGATGGTGAGACACCATCCCCTCGCCATCGTATGACGAAGAAAGTGCGTCACGGGATCACTGTGAAGGAAAAGCTGCACTGGCTGAAGATGCAAGACGCTCAGCCCGATCTTGGGAATCGCGCCCTGGCGAAGCTCGCGAAGGTGCAGCTCTGCCAGATCCGCGACTGAAAGAAGCTGAGGGAACGGCTAGAGGTCGCATCTAGCTGCCGCCGTCTCCTCGTGGGTTCCGGCCGCAAGGTGAAGTACCCGTTCATGGAACGGGCGGTCTACCGCCATTTCCTTTCCCATCGGGCTTAGGGCCTCGCTGTCTCGGTCCGCATGCTCGAGCAGTGGAGCTCCAAGTACATGAAGCACCGGATGCCGTCGGTCGATTGGCGCGCTTCGTTCCGCTGGGCGACACGTTTTCGCGCGCGCTGGCACTTGGCGAGGCGGGTGAAGACGAAGATGGGGCAGAGGTTGGCCGCCGGTAAGTTATTGTTTAGTATGCTTGTGTTTTTTTCCACGAAGTTGATCTAATGCTTGCCGTGGCACTGTCTGCAGACTGCAAGGAGAAGGTGGAGTCAATCTGGGAGTTTCTGCGCCAGATGCGCACTGTGCACGACTACCCGCTCGACCTCAACGTGAACGCGGACCAGACTCCGCTCTTCCTGGAGATGCCGACGGAGCGCACGATTGAAATGAAGGGAGCGCGTACGGTACACGTACGCAGTGCAGGATACAAGAAGAAACGTGTCACTGTCATGCTGGCAGTGATGGCGGGTGGCCTCAAGCTTCCTCCCTACGTCGTGTTCAAGCAAAAGACTATCCCGAAAGTGCCTATTCCTGCTGGTAAGTGAAAGATGTTTACGGTTTGACTCGTGCTCTTACATGTCACGTGTCCTGACCCACTATCGCGTTGTGATTGGCAGGCATGGTGGTCCGTGCACAAGAGAAGGGGTGGATGGACGAATCTCTTGTGCAGGACTGGATCACCTAGGTGCTGGTGCCGTTTCTGAGGCCCCTGCGGGAAAGCTCCGGACGCCACAGGGAGGCCTTGGTGGTGCTCGACTCCTACCGCGGCCACTTGACGGAGTCCGTCGGCCAGACAATGCGAATGTTCAGGTTGTTAAGGGCGGTCATCCCAGGGGGCTGCACACCGCTTGTGCAGCCCCTGGATGTGTCGGTGAACCGCGCGTTCAAGTGCAGGGTGCGTTCCCGCTACAGCGGATGGTTCGAAGAAGACGGCATCAACCTGACCACTCGCGCAGGTGAGTTCAAGTCATGAAAATCCGTTGCGTAACTTTCGTTTACGTGACAGAGCACGTTTTGCCGATACACAGTCCTAATTCTTAATCCCACCCCTACCCACAGGTAACCTGAAGAAGCCGCCTGCGGACTTGGTTCTCCGCTGGATCGACGAGTCCTGGGAAGCTGTCCCAGAGGAGCTTGTGAAGAAATCTTTCGTCACCACCGGGATCTCCGCCAAGATCGATGGCACTGAAGACCACCTCATCCTTGCCCACATGCGGGACAAGGGTGAGGTGGAGGTCCTTGACGACGTCAACGACCTCGTCGACGACGAGGTCGTCGTCAACCCGTTCTACGCCGAGGCCCCCGTGCCGCCCGAGGAGCTGCAGGCCGCAGAGGAGGATGACGCCGCAGAGGAGGCAGCGGAGGCGGTAGAGGAGGAGTGGAACGCGCCTGAAGAAGGTGGTGAGGCGGGAGAGTGCAACGATGACGATGATGACTGGTGGCGCCCTGGCCGCTACGACGGAGAGGAGTGTGAAGAGTGGAACGCAGGGGCCGATGTGGAGGAGGAGTAGGCAGCACAAGGAGAAGCACCATAGAGCAAAGACAGAGTTAGGAGGTGAAGTTAGTGCTGTTTCTGAGTAAATGATGGGTGTAGGTGCTGTTTGCCATACTTTCGTAGTAGAATGTACCCCTAACTGTGTGAAATTTAATGAATTTGCATTTTTTCCTGCGCATAACACCCACCCCCCGGGTCCTATAGAGAATCACCCCAAAAGAAGGGGTATAGTACTAACGAGGTCGGATATAACACCCACCCCGTATTAGCTATTCGGGGGTGTACAATTACGGGGGGGGTGTTTTATCCGGGAGAATACGGTGTCTTTGGGTTACAGAGCTAGTATAACTATATATGTATAATCGTATAAATATGTGGATACCCGCTTAACTCTGCAATATTCCGATACACAAAGTATCAATGTAGAACATAAAATAGTGTCTCATTGTAAGTTTTGCATTATGTTGTTTCGTAATGGATGCGAGCCATTGCAAATCCTGATGGTGAAGGGATTGACATGGACAAGGTTGTTGGCACGGGCACGGGGGGTGGGGTGCGGGGGGGATGGTGGGTGGAGGGGAAAGGGGAGGCGGGCGGGGTATGATCAACTCAACTTGCATAAGAGTCATTTGCAGTCCCTGATGACAAAGGGGTTGAGCATGAATGTCTACATGATACTGATGCAGATCATGAGCATGAATGTTTACATGCCCTTATGTAAACATGACTTGAATGTTAGCATGAGCAAAGGAGGGGCATGTAAACATTCAAATCTGTAGAACATGACAACATACATGATAGAACTGCAACAAGTGCCAACTGGGAACCATGCCATGTGCTGGACTGAGAGAGGAAGAGAGAGGGGAAGTGCATGGGTTCGATCAAAGGATTGAGTAACCCTCACAATTTCCTTTTTTCATCCACCTTTGCTCCTCTCCACCACTCCCATGTCTTCTGCCCTTCCATACACTATCTCTGCTTTCTTAAAGTCCCCTCCTCGCGATTCCTCCACACGCTTCCATGTCAAACCAGTCGGGGAGCGTCCCTCTGCCTGTCGAACCGCACCCTTCTCTCATCTCGTCAGCCACTTCAGCCTTGATGCCCTTCTTGAGCGACAGGAAGCGCTCCCGCATCTAGAGGGAGTAAGGAAATAGGGCGCAGACACGAGGTGTAGAGGGCGTGAGAGGGGATGTCTCGAGAGGGCGGCGGGGCCAATACCACTTGGGCTTTAATGCCCTTCTTGAGAGGCACGAAACGCCCCCGCATCCGTGAGGAGCATACCTAGGGGGGGCAGAGGGGTAGGCAGAGAATGTGTGAAAGGGTGGGCTAAAAATGTTGCTGTAGATGTCAAACTGTTATCATGTTTGTGCTGTGTAGGCTGTAGTTGGGTAGCCCATAAAGGGTACAACCCAGTTTAGGGTGTGCACTTGTACCCACATTCTGCTCAATGCAATCATTCCTGCTCATCAGATTCTAATATGGTTTCAGAGCAGTAGGTCCGTAGGACCGTTTTTTTTTTTTCGGGCCCACCATTAGCTAGTGACCGACTGCGGTTATCGCGCTACCCCACGCCCTGACCTGCGCTGCGCAGTCAGCGCGCACCCTGCCCTGCCCTGCCTAGTGTCACATTGCCCGTGCACGCCTTGCCCTGCGTCGCGCTGCCCCGCGCACGCCCTGCTCTGCCCCGCGTCACGCTGCCCCGCGCACGCCGTGCTCTGCCCCGCGCACGCCGTGCTCTGCCCCGCGCACTCCGTGCTCCGCCCCGAGTCGCGCTCCCCCGCGCACGCCCTGCCCTGCCCCGCGTCGCGCTGCCGCGCGCACGCCTTGCCTTGCACCGCGTTGCGGTGCCCTGCATACTCCCTGCCCTGCCCTGCATCGCGCTGCCCTGCGCACGCCCTGCTCTGCCCCGCGTCGCGCGCCCCTGCAGCCCGTCGCGTCGTGCGCCCCTGCAGCCCGTCGCGTCGCACGCGACTGCTGCCCGTCGCGCCGTGCGCCCCTGCAGTCAGTCGCGTCGCCCGTCGGCCCTACCCGTGCCCGTCGCGTTGCCAGAGTAGGCTGCCCCAGCCCGCCGCGACGCGTGTCCGCCCTGCCTGCTTGCGCCCCGCCCCTACCCGCCCCGCGTCGCACCACCCCGTGCACGCCACCCGCGCGCAGACCCTTGCAGCCCGCGCGCGGCCCGTCTGCAGCCCGCGAGCCTCCCCCACAGCCCCCGAACCACCCCTGCAGCCAGCACGCCTGTCTCTTGCAGCCCGCGCACTGCCCTTGCAGCCCGCGAGCCACCCTTGCAGCCCGTGAGCAGCCTCTGCAGCGCCCAGCGCGCCCTACTAAACCCTGAAGAAGAAGAAGAAGAAAAAAAAGCCCTAGGTGCTGCTGCCCTAGGAGCTACTGCCTGCTGCTACCTGCTACTGCCCGCCTACCGCGCGCCGCCCTGCTCTGGCCGCGCGCCGCCCTGCTTTGGCCGCGCGCCGCCCTGCTCTAGCCTTAGGTGCTCGTGAGTCTGCTCTAGGTGCTGGTGAGTCTGCTCTACGTGCTGGTGAGTCTGCTTTAGGCGATGGTAAGTCTACTCTCTCAGGTACTGCGCCTGGTGAGGCCTTGCACACCTTCACGCTTGACTCAGGTGCTTCCCGCTGCTTCTTTCGCGACAGCACCACAGTCACACCACTCGCAGCAACGGTTGCTGTCTCTCTAGCTGACCCCTCTTGGGGACCGGTTTGTGCACGTTCCTCCACAGTTCTCCCATGTTTGGCGGTTCTGTCTAGCTCACTATCAGGTCTTCACCTCCCCTCGTTCTCTACGAACTTGGTGAGGAACACCTTTATCCCTGGAGGACAGCGTGTGGCGATCTGCACGTGTGCACGGACGGGCCGTCACCTGGCCACGTTCACCCATCGACCTCGGTCGAGCCTTTACACACTGACTACTGAGCCTCCTTAGATAGTTGCATCTGCGTCTGCGTCAGGTCAGCTAGCAGCCCCCTGTTCGTGTTGCCTCCTGTCGCACCAGACTCTCCTTTGGCACCACCGCCTAGGTCACCCCTTGCTGCCACGCCTCCGTGGCATGCACTCCCGCCTCCTTGTCTCTGGTCTTCCCAGGTCTCTGCCTCCCCTCCCACCCTCGCCTGCCCCTCTCAGCCTTCCCTGTGTCGAGGGGCGGCAGCCGCCGCTCCTCGCTCCTCCTCGTTTCCCCCGACGACTGCTCCCCTGCAGACTCTCCACATGGACATGTGGGGCCCAGCCCGCGTCCAGGAACAGGGCCGCGAGCGATACTTTTTGCTGGTTGTTGACGACTACTCGCGTTACACCACGGTCTTCCCCTTGCACAGCAAGGGTGAGGTCCCTGATGTTTTGATCTCTTGGATCCGCGCTGTCCGTCTCCAGCTCCGCGAGCGGTTCGATACGGACCATCCTGTCCTGCATCTGCACTCTGACAGAGGTGGTGAGTTTTCCTCTGACCCCTTGCGGGAATTTTGTCATGGGGAGGGCATCCTCCAGTCGTTCACACTTCCGGCCTCTCCTCAGCCAAATGAGATTGCTAAGCGCCTCATTGGCTTAGTCATGTAGGTGGCTCGTACCTCCATGATCCATGCGGCTGCTCCCCATTTTCTGTGGCCGTTTGCGGTCCGGTACGCTGCGCATCAGCTCAACCTCTGGCCCCGTCTCTCCTTGCCGGAGACCTCGCCCACACTGCGTTGGACGGGAGAGGTTGGCGATGCGTTGGTGTTCCAGGTCTGGGGCTGTTGTGCCTTTGCGGAGAAGCTCTCCTCACGTGCCATTCCCTGCGTCTTCCTTGGATTTCCCCATGAGGCGGCTGGCTGGTAGTTTACCACCCCACCTCGTGCCGTGTCATACCCTCTCAGGACGTCACGTTCAACGAGTTGGTTCCCTTTAACCGTCTCTTCCCCTACCGCGTCCAGGGACAGGGCCGCGAGCGATACTTTTTGCTGGTTGACCAGCGATACTTTTTACTTGGTAGTAGTGGCGGCAGCAAGCAGCGATACCCACGGGATGGCCGACTTGTAGGTCGACGCGAGCCAACACGAGTCAATGCGAGTCAATGTGAGTCAATACGAGCGAACACGAGTCAACGTAAGGTAACCGCACCTTGAGGTTGTTGAGATCGTTTTCCAGAAAGTTGGTGATTCTGCCATGCAGCACGTGGTCCATCTGCACACCGGGGGTTGGGAGAATGGGGGGGATGGTGGGGAGGGGGAAAAGGAGGGATGGGGCGCCTCACCAAACCAAGCTCGTAATTCGATCATGCAGCACGTGCTCCACGAGCCCACGTGCACGCCACACAGAAATACAGGGGGTGAGGAGTGGTATGTGATAGAAGAGGAACATCAACCCGTGATACAAGAATGAGTTTGTGAGTGAAGAACGTGAGCCCTAAACCTCTCCAACTTCCCCCCCTTGGACACTAAACCCATGACATTTTGAGTCGACTCAAAATGAGTTGACTTTTGAGTTGACTTTTAAGTTGACTTTTGAGTTGACTTTTGAGTCGACTCAAAAGTCCCTTGGACACAAAACCCACGACATGTGAGTTCGTGCCTTGGACGCAATTTTGCTTGCAATGGACGCGCAGTGCACTGCACTGTGGTATAAGAGGGGTGTGTGAGGTGCTTGCCTCGGTGAGGCCTTGAGGTTTTGAGCAAGGATAAAAAATACGGTTGTCGTACTATACGGGCCGTTTTTTACGGTCGTATTTTATGGTCAATTTTCAAAAATTCTGCCGTTTTTTTGTTAGAGCTTTTTTCTCCGCAAAAAAAAAGTATCAAACTTCAGACTTGCTACCATCCACTTCTAGGAATGTGAACATCAAAGAAATTGCTAACTATCAGGCCTAAAAAGCCGCTCCCCCCCGAAACTCAGACCATTATAAGCGGTCCCTATCGGTTGCGGCGATTTTGCCAGCCAATCTGCGCATAACGGCGATTTCGCCCGCCGATCTGCGCATATCGGCGATTTCACCCGTCGATCTACGCATATCGGCAATTTTGCCCGCCGATCTGCGCAG